GAAAAGGACTGGGGATGAAGCTCAGTGGTAAAGTGTCCCTGGGTTCGATTCTTAACACCAGAGTGGATGGGGAGATGGAGGATGTATTTTAGTGGTAGAGCACTTGGTTAGCATTTTGTGAAATGGCTTCAACCCCCAGTGCCACATACTAAAATTTTATATATTTACGTATACATATATATTTGGGTGTTTACACACACACATGTGTGTATATAGACATATATATGCATGTGTATATAAAATAGAATTATTTAAGTAATTTAAAATGTACAATTCAGTGGCATTGAGTACTTTCACAGTGTATAATTATCATCATCCATCTTTGAATTTGACTATTCTAGTACCTCATATAAATGGAATCATAATGGGGTTGGGGTTGTTGCTCAGTGGTAGAGCACTTGCCTCTCACGCGTGAGGCACTGGGTTTGATCGTCGGCACCACATAAAAATAAAAAATAAGATAAAGATATTGTGTCCATCTACAACTAAAAAAATACTTAAAATAAATAAATGGAATCATAACAGTTGTATGGAGTGGACTGAATTGTGTCATACCTGCCCCTCATTCCCACTCATGTGTTGAACCTTAATCCTGGTACTTCAGAATGAGGCTGTATTTGAGATAGGGCCTTTAAGAAGGTAACTAAGGTAAAATGAGGTCATTGGGGTGGGCCCTAATCCAGTCTGACTGGCTTCCTTATAAATGGAGATAGGATAGACACACAGAGGGAAGACTATGTGAGGACACAGGGAGAAAGCACAATCTGCAAGCCAAGGACAGAGGTCTCAGAAGGAACCAAACTTGCTGACACTTTGATCTTAGCCTACTGGCCTCTGGAATTGTGAGACAATAAAATTTCTATTGTGTGTTTCATGGTATTTTGTTTTAGTAGCCCTGTGAATACATAGCCTAATGAATACATTGTCCTTTGTGTCCAATACACAGTATTTTGTGTCTGGCTTATTTTTGTTAGCATAATTGATCCATGTTATAGCATGTGTTAGAGTCTGATATCTTTCTATGGCTACATAATATTCTGTTGCCTGGATTGACTACATTTGCTTATCCATTCATCTGCCAATGGACACTTCTGGCTGTTGTTCATGGTGCTGGTGTGAACATGGGAATGCAACAATCTGTTTGAAACCCCAGCAGGTATAACTTCATCTGGGCAGTACTGGGCTCACCCTTTTTTGCTGCCTGGGTTTGGGGTTTTGGGGCTTGCTTTGACCCTTTAGCTTAAGCCTTTCCTATGTTACCCACACTTCCCCATAGTCCTGAACCTCCTTTCCTTGACATGGTAATTCCTGTTTTCTCCAGTGTGTTCACGTGGGTAGATGGCAGCCACAGGTGTGTAAGTTAGAGCTGGTTCAAATCTAGACAATTCTATTCTTTGTTGGTGATACTGAACCAGTCATTTCACCTCCCTGACCCCTGATCTCATGTGAAATGAAGGATGTGTTACACAGCACCTGCCTCCTTCATTACATGTAAAGCACCTAGCAGAGAGGAGGTGCTTCATTTACCTTTTTTTTTTTTTTTTTTTCCGATACTGGGAATTGAATTCAGGGATACTTAACCACTAAGCAACATCCCCAGCCCCCTTTTTGTTTTTAATATTTTTTGTGTATTTTTATATGGTGCTAAGGATTAAACCCAGGGCCTCACATGTGTGAGGTAAGCACTCTGCCTCTGAGCCACAACCCAGCACCCCAGCCCTTTTTTGTATGTTATTTTGAGACAGGGTCTCACTGAGTTGCTTAGGGACTCACTAAGTTGCTGAGACTGGCTTTGAACTCATGATCCTCCCACCTCAGCCTCCTGAGCCTCTGGGATATCAGTGTGCCACTGTGCTCGGCTACTTTTTTTTTTAAGGACAAAAGCAAATTTGTGAATTTACTTTTCATTAGTGTCAGCTCTTTTGACAGGCACTAACTGAAAATTGCATACTAGTGTCACTTACTCTGAGTTTATTTTAGTTCCTTTTTTTTCCCATGATTGACTCTTCCTCCTCCCATATTGTGAGATCCTCCCCCCAGCCATGTCCATGGTTGGAAGATTTCATATTGATATGCTAGAGTTTTCCAGAGAAGCAGAGCCAATAGGGCATGTACTTAGAAAGATCGTGGAAGCTGGCAAGTCTGAAAATTTCAAGGGATGCTGACAGGCTCAGAATTCCAATGAGATTTGGTGTTGTCTTCAATCTAAAACCACATTCAAGGTAAAATTCCTTCATCCTTGGGGACCTTCAGTCTTTTCTCTTAAGGCCTTTGACTAACAGTATGAGGTTGCTCATGTTATAGAGAGTAATCTCCTTTATTCAAGATTTTTTTTTTTCAGTTGTAGTTGGACACATACCCTTATTCATTCATTTATTTTTATGTGGTGCTGAGGATCTAACCCAGGGCCTGGCACGTGCTAGGTGAGTGCTGTACCGCTGAGCTACAACCCCAGGCCCTTTTATTCAAGATCTTTACATGTTAAAAATACCTTCACAGTAACATCTGGATTGGCACATGAGCAAACAACTGGCACATGGCCTAACCAAGTGGAAGCAATCCACCTTCACAATTGGTCACTTAAACTGATGTTATTGGATTCATTGTAATCTCGGTTAAAATCCAAGAATGCTGTTTAAAATGATTGACAGGCTGATTGTAAAATTCATATAGAAATGTAGGAGAACTAGAATTTTGTCTGTCTAGAACTCTGAAAAAGAGCAAAGTTGGAGGATCCACAGTACTTGATTTCTAGACTTAGTGGGAAGTCGTGGTCATGAAGACAACATTTTAATGAAAGAACAGACACATAGATAATGCAACAGGATATGGTCCAGAAGTAGACTCACATATATGGTCAATTTTTGTTTTGCTTTGTTGTAGTTCTGAGGATTGAACCCAGGGATTCTATGCCACTGAGCTATATCCCCACCCTTTTGAAATTTTTATTTTAAGACAGTATCTTGCTTAATTGCCCAGACTGGTCTCAAACTTGGATCCTCCTACGTCAGATTATAAGCATGCACCACCATGTTTGGTGAACTTCTCTTTGAATGACTTTTAATGGCTGGGAATATGGCTTAGTGGTAGAGCACTTGCCTAGCAAGTATGAGGCCCTGAGTTCGATTTCTACCACAATATATTCATAAATATATAAATTAACTTAAGTACATGGAAAGACAATTGAGACTAGGGGAAAAATATTGTAAATCATGTCTGATAAAGGACTTGTATCCAGCATGTATAAATGACTCTCAAAATCAAATAAAACAATATTCTGTAATAACTGAATGCAGAGGCGCTTCATCAAAAACACTGAAGAAGTAGATGGCAAATACACACATGAAAATACAACGTTTGGGCTGGAGTTTTAGCTCAGTGGTAGAGCACTTGCCTCGCAAGTGTGAGGCACTGGATTCTATCCTAGCACCACATAAAAACAAAAACAAAGGCATTGAGTTCATATACAACAAAAAAAAAATTAAAAGAAAAAAACAACATAATGTCATTAGTCATAGGAAAATGCAAATTAAAACTACAGTGAGAGGGGCTAGGGTTGTAGTTCAGTGGTAGAGCGGGTGCCTAGGAACTCTCATGATTTAGCCATTCCACTTAAAGGCATTTATCCAAGAGAAAGGAAAGCATATATCTGTAAATTGATAGTATACAAATGTTCATGGGTATATTTTATTTTTCTACTTATTTGTAGTACTGATGGTTGAACCTGGGTCGTCGCACATGCTAGGTAAGTGCTCTACCACTAATTACAACCCCATCCTTTGGCAGCTTTATTTGTAATATTCCAACCTTGGAAATAACCCACATGTTTGTCCTCAGGTGCATGAATAACCATAATCATTATATGTTGACCATATAATGAAAGACTAGTCAGTAATAGAAACAAATGATTAATACAACATGAATAAACCTCAAAAATTATGACAAGTGAAAGAAGCAGCAAAAAAGGACATAGTATGTTTCCATTTATAGCAATACTTAGGAAATGCAAACCAACATATATGGATAACAAGCAGATCAGTGGTTGCCTGGGAAGGGTTCAGGAGGGACTGTGAAGTGAGCATTCTATTCCTTATCTTGATTGTATTAATCACTTCACAATTAAACACATGTCAGAATTTATCAAGGTGAATTGTGTGTTGTGTATTGATTATACCTAAATAAAGTTCTAGTGCCTGACATACCTAGGTTTTAGTTCCTTTCCTCCAGGCTGACTCTGCAGCCTCCCCTCATGGTGACATTGTTCCCTCCAGCCGGACAGGCCCGTGTCTGTTGTCCTAGGGCTTCATACAGCTGGCTTTCTGGACCATCATGTGCCCTTAGGAAGACTGCATCAAATGACACTTTGCAGAGGTGATGTAACATTCTGGAGCCCCTGCCCATTGGAGATGGATCTCTCGCTTCACCTCTGACTTACATCATAACCTCAGCCATATCTCTCAGTGTCCCCCTTTTCCCTCTGCTCAGCACTTTCTCTCTCCACAGAGGCCCAGGAAGGTTAAGCGCCCAGCCGTGGACCTCAAAGGTCAGATGTCACAGGCTTTCCTTAACTGGACATTCCCTTGAATGCCTATCAGTGGCTATCAAATAGAATCTCTTAGTTTGCCCTACAGCTTCTTCAGTTGGAGGCATGATCAGGGCCTTGACCTGCCCCAGACTTTACATCAAATTAGAGCAAGTCCTGGGGCCTTCCAACTCCTGGACCTAAGCCCAAGGGATACCTCACTTTGTCTCCCTCATTCCATCTCATACGATCCCAGGGCTGCTGTGGGTAGGGGAGAAAAATGCAGTCCCTGACCCTGCCTTCCAGGGCCTGGAGGCTGGGACAGTAACTGCTGCAGTTTGTTGGGGTCTGGACTTCTTCCTCTCTGCCCAGTTGCCCTAGTGACTGTGTGACCCGCCCCCCACCCCCGCCCCGCCCTTGCATGCTGCTGCCTCCCATACCCACCATATAAATAGAGGCGAGGAGCAGCTGGGCTCTCTTGGCAGTCACCATGAGGGCGCTGCTCCTGCTCTGCTGCTTCCTGGCCTCGCTCCTGCTCTCAGGACAATCAGGTACGCCCCCCTACACAAGTGGACCCCACTGTACCCCAGATGCTTCCCTGAGGTTTTCTGTTCCCTGGAGTGGGGGCTTACAGCCAGTGGCAAAGCTTTGCTCCTTTCTGGTGTCACTGTCATTACCCTTCTCCTTGGGGTCTGGGCTGTGGAGGAAGCAAGGTGCTAGAGTGAACTGGGGGATAGGATGGCTTGCGGGAGGATAGAGGAAGTAAAGAGAGGCAGATGGGCCTGAGAGCTAGGCCAGGGTCAGAGAGAGGAGCCTGGATGGCCGAAGCTGGGAGAGAAGACCTCCACAAATCAAGTCTGGAGGAGACTCCAAGATGGACAAAATAACAGATTGGAGCTGGAGGTCATTTGGGTTACCCTCCCACTGGGTGGGAGAGAGGGCAAATGTCTTGGCTCTGGCTAGAGCCCTGGGTTTGCATGACTGAAGATAGAGGTGGATACTGTGGGCAAATTTGGGGATCATTTTGCAAACTGGGTTAGATTTGGAGTTTTTTAATAGGGTTTGATATAGATTTGGGATTTGGGCTGGAAATAGAATTAGATGCAGAGTCCAGTGAGGAGGGGGACCCATTTTGGATGAGATCTTCTGTGAGGGGCAGGGGCTTTCATCAGGAAGGGGCTTAGCTCTGCATGCTCGGCTTTCCTTTGACATCTCAGCACTTTGTGTGAGGCAGAGCCGGTGGCTTGGGTTGCAGCATGGAGGTTATTTATAGGCTAAAGAGGGGACACCAATCATTTTGTCACCTCTCATTCCTAAGACTCCAGGGGCTAGCTTCCCCTTGGGGATGCTTTGGGGAGGGGCTGTGGGATCCCCCTAGGAATCTAGGACTCCCACTGTGTCCAGGCTCAGCCTTTAACCCATGTCTGCACATGGGACTGTGGGGACCCGGGGTTCCTGTCTCTATAAGTCTGAGGTTCTGTCTCCTGAGAACAGGGGGCTGCAGAGGCATCATCCCGGCAAAGAGCAGAGATCAAGAGCAGCAAAAGCCATTCTTCTGGGGGTTAGGGGTTCTGCAGGGGGCTCCGGCCATAGCACATGCTGCTGGGCCCTGCCCTTGTCTGCCCTTGAGTTAATTTGGGCTCTGCAGGGCTGCAGTGGCTAGAGTGGTGAGTATTCCAAGCGGCTGTCAGGTGGCTAAGTATGGAAACAGCTATGTAATTGGATCCTGAGCCCCAAGCCACTGCCACCCCCTCCCCTTTGCAGCCCCTCCTCTGAGGCCCAGCCCCAGCTGCCACCTCTAGGCCTCCACATAGCAGGGCCATAGGAATTACTAGCCTTTTACGGACATCCTTCATCTTTCCTCCCACTGAGGGAACTGGGCATCTGTGATGTTCCATAGGCCATGCTGGGGGCTCTTGCTTCAGGGAATAAGCAAATGCTTTGTGGGAAGGATCTCTGTGCTATTTCCTTTCTGGGCCCTGTGCTGTGCTCTTCCTCTGGCACGTCCCCCAGTGTGGAAGCACCCCTTCCTCCTTGTTCTTGCTCACCTTATCACCACTCTGCCTCAGCTGTAGATTGCTTAGTCAAAAGGTGGCTTTCTCCTGGGCCTATGGGAGCATCCAAGCCACCAGGTGGTTCCCCAGGCCTCCATAATGACAAATCTTTCCTTGTGGTTGATTTTCCCAAGAATTGTGCTATCCTGGCCAAAAGTCCTGTCTTTGTCCCTGAACTCTTCTCACTCCCCCACTGTGTATTTCCCTCCCATTTCTCTCAGCTCTCATTTGGATGGCAATAGAAGCCCCTTCTTGCCCATTTCAAAGGGTAGGAACTATGCAGTGCTGCTTTCTTTTCTACTTATGCTGTCCCTGTGTGGCTCTGGACTAGGGTGGTTGGCTCTGCAGCCCCTATCACCTACCAGGAGACCAAGCATCCCTCTCTCTTTCACCTGTGCCAGGACTCAGATGAAGTAGCAAGGCCCCTGTCACCAGACACCATCCTGGTTTCCACCCTCAACCTGCTTCCCTAAGTCCTTGTAACTATCTGGGTTCCCCCATGGTCTGGGTCATGGGACAGGTCTGCTCAAGGACAGGGGGAAAAGACCCTAGAGATAGCTTGATGATCTCATTATCCAGAGATGGTAAGGAAGGTCAGAGAAATGACAGATTTGTTTGAGTCAGTGACAGAGGCATGTCCAGCAGTGTTGATCTCACCCACCAGGATTTGCTTCTGTCCTCTCTGTCTCTTTGACAAACCTGTCCTGTGGGTGGGTATGAAACTGGGGTGGATAAAGTCACCTGAGGGAGATTTCCCAAGAGATCAAGAGAGTGATGCTTTTGTTCCTCTGATTTCGTGGAAGTGGGGTGAGGTAGGTGGTGCCCAGAAAGCATTTCTTTGGATTTAAGCCATTAATGTTTATTGGTGAAGGCTCATTGAGTACACTTGTGCTTCCTGTTGTCCCTCCTGTTACTTGATGCGGAGATCTGTGACATGGGGGTTCTGTGTCCATTTTTCCTTCATCCTCCTTCACACCTAGCCCTGGTTTGTAGACCATCAAACTGCTCTGGCCCCACCCTGCATCCCAATAGCAAGGAATTTGCATGCTGAGGGTATCCATTTTTAGTCCTAGGACTAAAGTGTCCCTCCTAAAGAGACAAGGGTACAGTATGAATGTAAGGAGCCCTCCCCTAACTGTGATATTTCCAGGAGGAGTTTTCATTCCTGTCACCTCAACAGGGCACTCCACCATCCACCATGGGGAGGCTGCTGAAAGAAGGGAGAAGTTCAGGGTCTTGGGGAGAGAGCAGACCCCAGAAGCCCTTCCAGCTCCCTAAAACCATAGCTTCCACCCCTAGCTTGTCACAGTTGAGTGACCCTGTAGGGAAAATCTAGTCCCCCATTTCCCACAAAGAGTCTGGAATGGTAGACCAGGATATACTTATGGATGCATCCCCCTGCAAAAGAGTGACACCTTGCTTGGTGGCCCATGTAATAGAAGTTTAAGAAATGATGATTTTGTCCCATATCTTAGCGTTACAGTGAAGGTCATACAGAAAATCCATGGAAGGCTAGAGCTGAGATTCAGGTCTCTTTGTGCCTTGGCCAATGCTTTTGCCCCCTTATTCCCTTCTGAAGTCCAGATAGGTTCGATTGCATACTACTGGCCATTCGGTACTCACTCTGGTGTGTGGACTGGGAAGGAGCCTGACCTGTGTGGACAAAGAAGGAAGATGGCTGCCTCTGCTTCTGGCTTAAGGAACAAGGACAAGGCTAGATGTTGTGCATCCTGTATGAACATCCATCATGAATGGAGGAGTGGGACAGGGTGGGGCCCACTGCTGTGGGACACTGGGATGGAGCACCCAGGCTTACCTCTCTCTCCTGGGCACATTCCTACTCCAGAAACAAATCCAGATCTCCCATGGCACAGCCCTTGTAGGTAAATGTTGCTTAGATACACAAAGCCCTTCCTTCAAACACCTCGTTGCATTTCATCATTTTAGGGACTCATCCCATATTTATTGGGTTGCTGTTGTTTTCATATATGGGACTAGAGGAATGCAGATAGGTATTCTGTTTTTGGTGGGCTTACAGTTCAGTAGGGACTCTCACTGGAAAAGTGAGGTGGGCTGAAGGAAGGGGACAGGTTATCTTGGACTAAGCAGGTCAGAAAGTAAAGATGAAACTGGGCCTTGAATAAAGTAGGATAAGGACATAGGGAGACATCAGGAAGGGAAATCCACGTAAAGGGAACCGGATGAGGCAACTCATGGAATCAGAAGAATGGGGACCTGAAGAGATCCAGGAAAATGTACCATTGTTCTTTCTTGGATGAGGGTGGGCAGATGGGAGTGAGGCAGCAGGAAATTTATTTGGAAGGTGAGGTTGGGGCGGAAGTGCAAGGCCTTGACTGGTAGGCCAAGAAGGGCAGCTTTATTCTGTGGACAGTGGGTAACCATGGAGGGCTCTGGTAAAATACACAGTTGTTGGTGGAAGGAGCAGGATTAAATGTCTCAGAGAGGATAAGAAGAAACTGATTGGTCAGACATGCCAGGAATTTAAGCAGGGTGGTGGTGTGGACTTGGGCAAGGCTGGGAACAGGGAGAAGGGGGAACCTCAACAGAGAACTGGGGTGGAATCAGATGAACTTCCCAACCTGGTGAGCCAGGGCGGGGAAAGGAGTCCTGACAGGCTTATGTAGGTTACTGGAGAACAATCTTGCCAGAAGAAGACACCATGGAGTGTAAGAGAGAACAGATTCTAAAAGTTTATTTTGGGTTATTTTGAACATCAGGTGCTGGTGGGATGCCTGTATGGGGATTTTTTAGAGTGGTTAGAAAGATGGGACTGGATCCTAGGAGGAAAATCAGACCTGGGAATCTGGACATGAGATTCATTTGGGTAAAGATGAGAGTGAGGCAGAAACGGAAGAAGCTGTTGCAGAGAGAAAAGAATGAGATTTGAAGACTAGTCCTGGAAGAAACTGGACTTAAGGAGTAGGAAGAGGAAGAGGATAATAAATGGATTTTAGAAAGATGGGAGGGAATCCAAGAAGAGACAGTGGCTTGGCAGCTAGGAAAAGGATGTCTCCTAGAGGAAGGGGTGTTCCACAGGATTAAATGTCACAGAGATGTCGAGGAAGAGATGGTGTTGCTTTCGACAACCTGAGGTCACTGACATGTTATAAGGGGTTTAAGAGCAATTAGTGAGGACGTGGAGGCAGACATAAAGGGCTGAACATGGTGGCACAAGACTCTGATCCCAGCAGCTTGGGAGACTGAAACAGGAGGATTACAAGTTCAAAGCCAGCCTCAGCAACTTAGGGATATCTTGTCTCAAAAATGAAATGAAATAAAATAAAAAATAAAATAGGCTGGGAGGGCTGGGGTTGTGGCTCAGTGGTAAAGCCCTTGTCTAGCACATGTGAGGCACTGGGTTTGATCCTTAGCACCATATAAAAATAACTAAAACAAAAGTATTGTGTCCATCTACAACTGAAAAAAGGAGGGTCCTGGGAATGTGGCTGAGTGGTTAAGTGACCTTGGGTTCAATC